GGGGGAAAGAAATGTGTCCGTGAGGAGTTGGCGAGGAGCGTGTGTATTTACCATCCAGCAGAAGAGGCACAAGCCTGGCAACACGGGAGGAGGAAACCTGCCGCCAGCCCCGCGGACGAGGCGATAGCTGCTGTCGCCTCCCGTGCGCGCATAGACCTCGCTAGCCGCCGCGCTCGCCGACAAGCGGAATTCTCCCCGAAACACAGCGATCCGGGAAGGAAGGATTTGCCACCGAGCCTATCTATCACCCTCCTCCCCAGCGGCTGGATACTGCAATTCCCCCCCCCCCAGTCATTCTTCTGTGTTTAAATACCAAATATAGTCTCTTGGGAGGGGGGTGGCAGAATTTTAAAAGAATTGGAAATCTGATTTGGGCTCGAGAGGGCTGGTGTTGAACGGACAAGGCGAAGGCTCGTGGAAACGGGAGAGAAGGGGAAATGTGCAGCTTTCATTGACTGGCTGGAGAAGGACTAGAGATTTACCACTTTTGAGGAGGCTGGGAGGTTTGTTTGTTATCAGACTGTTGTTTCTTCCCTTCTTCTCTCCTGGGTTACGCTAAATCCCGCAGCATTATTAAAGAAAACTTCAGTGTTGCCCACGTGTAGCTGGTAGCTTTCTTTTTAAGGTAGTTTTGGTAAAGAAACTGACAGACTTCTTATCCTTCCCTTCCTCAAAGGCTCGTGACGTTTGAAACTGAAGTGGACCTGTTTTTCTCCCAAACACTACATGTTGTATAACGGGAGTGAGGACGAAAATATATTGTTTACTAATCTCAGTACGACTCCCCGATTTTCAGCACCCACGAGGGATGCTTTGCAAAGCTTGATGTGGAAAAGAGTTGGAGTGTGTTTCGAGACTTTGTTTTCCTAAGGTATCCAGCGGCTTAATTGTTGACTTTTTTAGTGGATTCGTAACATGCTTTTATGAATTAAATTTTGCCACCGTTTGTACAGAAGCCAAATGACACGTGTGTTTTGAAACACAGTTCCAAATAAATCCATCCCTGTGCCCGGATTCTCGCCAGAAAGAGCCAGAGAGAGATCGTCACTAACTTAATAAATCCGACTTTACTATTTTGTGAACGTTATACTCCTCAGAAATGTTGATATAGAGTGCATTATTCCGGTTCAGCGGAAAGGGGGATTTTCCAGCTTGCAAGACCCAGGAAACTGGATACTTAAAATCACTTAAATGTTTTAACAGCATTGGAAAATGGGAGCTGCTACCAAGTTGGCGTTTGCTGTTTTTCTTATCTCATGTTCTTCGGGTAAGTCTTATTTTTGTCACTTTAAACGTAAAGGATCAGAGCTTGAAAGGTAGCTTGAAGGTAACGTTGTTCATTAGTATGAATTAGGATAAATCTCCTTTTCAGATGACAAACGTGTGGGGTTGGCAGTGTTTGTAAAGGCATTAGCTGTTTTGATCGTTATTCTTAAGAATTTGTGTAGCTGATCGTTTCGAGCCTGTGCGGTCCTTGCATTTCAGATAGATTGCGTAGAACACATGCAGAAATTTAACCACCTAATGTCATAGGCAGTCGCCTGATGATGCAATAACTAGCATGTTTCGTGTTTTAAAATATGAATAATCAAACTGAAATATTCTTAACTTCATTGATATCTCTTGTTTTGTGGCATTCAGTGGTGAATACCGGCCTTCATTAATGCTTCGTTAGCGTAGAACAGTTACTACTATGAAAGTATTAGCCTAGTCCTTTACTGACAGGAAGGGATGTGTGCACGTGTAGATGTGCACACAGAATAAGTGCAAAAGGTAGACTTTCAAATCGGTTTCTAAGCGATTTGTAAGGCTTTGTATTTTGCTATGTGTGTTTTGTAGTACAAAAGTCCATTAATTTTATCTTTGAAATAACAAAAGTTCGGTTTCTAATGCTAGCTCTTAGTCATGCGAAACAACTGGCGTGTGAGAACTTCTGTACGCTTGTTTTAGGGGGGGAATTGTTATGGTAGCAACCAGTGGCTGGCTGGACTGTTGATACATTTCTACTTGAAGCTTCATCAGTTTTACAAAAAGCTATTATAAGCTACCAATCTTGAGCGGTGTAACAGATTTAAAACTTGTTTATATGTTTCTGAACGCATCTAGAGTCCTCTCTGTATGTTTATGTATGCTTTTTAGCTTTCTCATACAGCATGCAAAGATAAACTTGTTTATCAGTCTGAGTATTCTGACTGCTGGTTTTCAGGTTTCAATTGTAACCTGTGTAAGGCATTGTAATACAGATCTAGTCACTGCCTTTTAAAATTTCAATGTTATAATGTGCAGCATTTTGCTGAACAGTACATTTTCTTGTGGTTAGTAAATGGATAGTCTAGTCTAATGTCTGTAGTGTTATTGATCAATTACGTGTGGGCTAAATGTGCTGTGAAATGGCGATCACTGCCAGAAATTAACCAAAAGAATCCTGTCTGTTTTAATCAGAGAAATAGCAGAAGAGGTTACAGGCACATAGTTTTGTGTGTGTGTGTGTTTTTTTTCTAAGTGTACCTTTTCTTTTTTAAAGCATATGATTACTTTTGACAATTTTACCTTTCACTAAAAGACATATCTTCTATCTTGACCTAATAATACCTAGTTTTGAAGTTACTCAAGTGACATTCCTCTTCATTCAGGAATATTTTCATAGGATAATTCCCCCCCCCCCCCCCCCCCCCCGCTCCCCCCCCCCCCCCCCAACTGGCAGTTTTTGGAAGGCTTAGTGCCATCTGTTCTTCATGTATGTCTTTCCGTTCCTTGTCTTTCTATTAAGATCCTTTTGCCTAGAGCACACAACAGTGATCTTGTTGAAATTAACTATCTTCCATATCAAAAAGAACTGTTAAGCAACAAGAACAGTCTTTTCTTTAGCCTTCTTGCTCTTACTGTTCTTGGTAGATAAAAAGTGAATATTTCTCTTGCCTGGTGAAAAAGGAAATAATCTTCACTAAATGAAGAACTGGCTAAATTTTGGACTACTTCATATGTTAATAACATTGTTTTGGTGGTTATTCCAGTATTAAACAGGAAATAATCCAGTATTTAACAATTATTAAAGTATTTTCTGTCCTAATATTCATCAGCGTTTCTGCTCTCCTGGTGTAGGTATAAGAATGAACAGACTTGCAGTGAGTTTTTACTTCTACTATTCAGAACTCAAAGACTATTTAAGCTTTTAGCATTAAATACATGCCTTTTGATTAGTAGTGTTTCTTCTGTTCGCTGTGACTTGTGTAGGTTAGGCATCTGATTAATTTGTTCTAACATCATAGTCAGAAGTAAAAGTCTCCTTGGCGTTCTTTAGACTGGAAGAAGTCTATCCAGATTATTTATTTAAGTATATTGGCAATAGTTGGAGAAATCCTAGAGTTCAGATGTAAAGACATGTTCTTTCTTTCTCCAGTATACAGTCTCCAACCACTTGTAATGTGTGTGTGGGGTGGGGGGAGGGTTGAGTTTTTTTCCCCCCGTTTTCATTTATTTATTTTAAATGTTTTGTATGCAGTCATTTTCCACAATTGCTTACATAGCCCACTATCACAGAGTTCTTTAAATAGATGAAAATATTTTTGTTCTACATAGTAGGTATGGAAGTGGTCTTTAGTTTGAAGGCATTTTACTTTACTGTATATAAACTACTATTTGAAATGCTGTAAATGCACTTTAAATGCATATGGAGTCCCAGTGATTTCACATGTGGTAATCTTTAGTAAGAAAGTGTAAATATTTTCCCTTTTTAACTAAAGTGTGGAGAAAGTGAACATCTGTGTCATGTTATTATGCTTCAAAATATTTCTTACCATATTCATGGGTACTGAGATAAAAATTGACATAGGTTTTACACCCATTTGTACCAATTCAGGAGAATGAGGTGAACGCATAGTAGCTAAACATGAAAACAGAATGCCTTGGTCGAGGTTCCTGGTATGCCCTTTAGTATGCTTTTTATATAGACCTATGCATACTTTTAATAAAGAAAAAGTTTTCTGTATTAAAAATAAAGAACAGAAGATCCTAAACTAATAATAAAATAATTATGAACAACTGAACATGCTTCTTATGCTTCTCGTATCGTAAGACTTTTTCTTAAAAAAAGAAACCAGTGAATAAAATAGCACGTTCATCGGAGAACGTTCTTCTTAGATATTATCTGTGCTCTCCCACATCCCACTGTTCTCCCTCCCCGAGGAAGTGTGTTTCTCTCTCCTCCGCTCTTGATGATCCCCAGATAAGTTATACTTTATGGACTTTCAGGAATAGAGAATATATTCTTCATAGCTTGCTGTGGTGTGATATATATCCACCTATGCAGTTGAAAATGTAGGAGCTGTTTAAGTACTAGATTGTCTTGCATTAAAATCTTCAGTCGCAGGTGCTACAACTTCTAACAGCTCATGGATGGTTTATTACTTTTAAATTTGCAAACCATCTTTTTCACACTTCTCCGTTACCTACTGTGGTTTTGGTAGGCAAGGCTGTCATCGCAGTAGTTCTCCAGCTTTTTGTCAGGAGACAAGAGTTGAATTTATGCTAAAACTCGCTTAAGCACAATTAATGTTAAAAATCACTGAAGCAAAAGGAAATGGATATCGGATTTTTTTTTGCCCTTTTTTTTTTTTTTTTTTTTTTTCCTGATGCCAGATTTTTTTAAAGCCACTCAGCTTTTGGAGGGGGTCTTGAGTAACTTTGCCAAAGGAAATGACATGTCAAAGACGCGTTTGTAGTTGATGTAGTATTTTCAGTCTACAGTGAAATTTCTAATCTTTGATTTTATTTTATTCTCTTCCTGCTTTGCCCTGATTATTATTAGGGGAAAACGTGATTTCCCCCTCTCCCCCCCCCCCCCCCCCCCCCCGCACAACACTAACTTTTTTTTACTGCTGCAACTTCAGAAGCTGGGTGGTTGGGTGTCCTGAAGAAATGGAGGGGTGGGAGGTGAGAATGTTTTGCTTCTTAGGAGTAAAGTTTGTGAAATTGTCTCTGCTGGTATGATCTCTGTCCATGATTGTGGTCGAACTCGAATTGCTTTATTGCACAGGCAGAGCAATAAAACACTTAAGAGTTAGTACTAATTGTGAAATAAAATGCTCTCAAGATTCCTTTTTTATAGCAGTGTACTACTATTTTTTTTTTTCCTTTCTTGCTATTGAGTGTGTTATCGATGGGAAATATCCCAACAGTCTCAACATTGTTGTTCAGGGTAAGACTTTTAAACCTGATAAATATTATTTTCAAGCATATGTACATTTACATAGATGTGAATGTAATGTAGTTTGCAAAGTCTTATGGTTCCAGGTTGATGTTATAACTTTGATTATATAAATACTTCTCAGAATTCTATTTATAATCTGTTAGTAATTCACAGTTACAAAACTTAAAACCTCTGGGATATGAAAAATTTCTGAAATCATACTAATGCTGTATTAGAACATGTAAGCAGAGTTCTAGTGGAACTCTATTTCTAAGTATTTAAACAGAAATGCAGCTAGCATGGGTTTATTCCCATGTCTGCCTTGCACATACAAGTCACTTTTCCTAGAAAAAACTTGTAATGAGTTTGTCATCAAATGCCAGATGCTGTGTAAGCTGGGGGGGAGAGAGTTGTGAGGTGAAAACTGGTTTTTCCTTTATGGGGACTTCAAGAAGATAATTACTGCTATAGCGAATACTAATTTTCGGCTTGTTTTAATGGCTGCTATTTGAATGCCACTTCTTTTTTTTCCACCCTGCTGGAAATTGGGAGTGAAAGCCTTTAAATGGCAGGTTCTGTCAGTTTGCAAGTGAAGGGCGGGGGAAGCAATGTCTTTAACTTCAGATAGAGGGGCTCTATTTTGCCATGTCAAATGGTACTCTTAGGAAGAAAAAAAAAAAAAAAAAAAGAAAAAAGATTAAGTGTTTTGTATTCTTGGTGATTCTCTCTTCTCCAGCCATTGCTTTTAACACTTCTGTTTTTGACAGTGACTGGCTTTCAATTCCCGTAACTTATTTCTTTGAATTCAGTTCTCTTATAAATCATTGTTATGAAGTTTATATGTTTGGTTTCTGGAGCTCTTAAAAGATGGTAGTAACTCCTTCTTTACTCACAGAAGAATGTGACTACATGCAAAAGTAGTCTTTTGGAGAATTGTATGATTCAGAGCTAAGATATAGCAAGTCTGGGGTATTTATCCTTCGTAATCTTGTGGAGAATAACTCTTCTAAAATGGTGTGTAAAAAGGTAGAATTTTCCTCGAGGAATCTGATGCTGGAAGAGATTTCTTGGTGAAGGGT